AAAAACATTTACTTTTCTATCTAACTTATAATCAATGTATTAACCAGGGTAAAGCCTATCGGGATTGTTAGTAATATGTAAATGTTTGATATAAATATAAACATATGAGATAAAAAAAACCTATTTGTTCCTATTACTACATGGGATAAATGTGTTGATCAATGGTAGTTCTAGATCTATTCACTTTTACTGTCTAAGTAACTATTGGATTTATGACTACTATATGGATAAGAGTTCAAGTGAAAAAGTATTTCATTTCTTAAAAGTTCTCTTTATAAACGTCATATGAAATAAACAAATAATAATGTAGTAAACCCGAACACGAGTGGGGACAATCGAATGTATTTGACACGAAATTACAAAGCATCTCAATAAAATCTTAGAACTATATAATAAATCGTTAATTTGCAAAATATCAATCTATCATCTCAAACTTGATTGTTCCTGTTGCAAACATTGATATATTGTCTCAGATTTCATTGTTCATGTGTTTTCATATCAATTGCATTCGGTTCCCGTTCACTTTTCATCGACCTACTGAAATACGTTCTATGCCTGATCACCGTTATGTACTACTTGTATGGATATAAGTAACCTACACAACAATGGGATACCATATTAAGCATGTTAAAATCACATAAAATTGTTGTTGTTTCTTTCACTATGAATAATCTAAAATATATTGTGAATAATTACCTAATGAAAAATATCGGAATACCTACTTGATAATCTTTAAGCATAAATACGATAGTTGTAATTGGATTGTATACAATATTTTTGTTCTAGCTACTTTATAAAAACCTATGAATGTTTGGATGGTCTTTTGTCAATTTGAAGGTTTTTTCATCAGAATGTGATATGGACTGAAATTCTAATAAAATGTAAAGACCAGTTGATGAGTGTCTTATTCAAGGCTTGGATGACTATCTATGATCTCTTAAATTTCACGCATAAGCATAAAAACGACAGTTTTTCTTCAGTATTTTATCTTTCTGAAGAATATGAAAATTGTTTAAAGTAATCGGATGTTTATTCCGAAAAGTAAAGTATTCCATTTCACAGAAGTAGAGCATGAAAATATTGATCCTACCATTTTTCTCATAATGAACGTTTCCATTTAATTGTACACAATTAATGATTAGAAGTATTTTAGATAGATGGTCAATAAATGTCTTTTGTAGTCATGATGTGTTGGAAACATTGGCAACTTAGTTCCAGTTTAGCAGGTCAAAAATATATTTCTTGCTAAGTAAGCTAGAAATACTAATGTGAGTAATCATTTGTGACTCAACTATATTTTGGTAACTGTATGAGAATTTCACATACATTTATTTGTCTAGTGAGTATATTTTGACAGATTTACACATTCCTTATCTACAATAAAGTTATCTAGTGTAATGTTCTGATACTTTATCGATTCCTTTATTCATTTTATTCGCATTCAAACAAAGCGTGAATACAATATTCCACTGTAAGTCATTTGATTTATCCTTGTATCTGTTATGCTTTAAACCTCAATTATAATTGAATAGTGCAACTCATAATACAAATGGGTAGTAAAAAGGCATTCGTTCATAATATTCTAAATGTTGGATAACATGAGTATTCAAGATTGGAAAATTGTTTTCGTTTGACAGTTTCAACTAGAAGTAATTGTATTCTATAGTTAATTTCCTTCCGCAGGTTTAGAGGCTAGCGTATTATTATTTAAAATGTATAGCGTTCCAGTTATTTGGTTAACCCATAAGTGCGATGCAGTTCACCTATTCGAATGAATTGTGTAAGTTACAGTATGAAGACTTTATGTGCTCACAAGTGACTAGTTTCATGAGGGAATTCTCAGAGTTCTTTTGAGAAGTCGTGACCAGTGGAGCTAATTCATGTTAGGTAAAGACAGGTATCTACCTCAGTATAGTGAAAGATAGTCGTGCAATTTTGTGGATTAGTTGAGGTTAGACATTCACACTGTTGGATGCCGGCTGGCTCAGTGGTCTAGAGGTTAAGCGTTCCTGGGTTTGAATCCCGCCAGCGCAATCGTGGATGCGCACTGTTGAGCAGTCCCGAACTAGGACGAAACGGTAGGCTAGTGTTTCCAAGTTTTCAATGCTGTTCTAACATCAATCGGTTTATGATCTCAATCAAAAACTTAATAATCTCTACAACTTTATACTGAAAATAATATTAGTTAATATTCAATATTAAATTAAATCCTTGATAACATAAAATGAACGGAACTAATTGTAACAGCATTTAATTTACATATTAACATTTAGACCTTTATTAATGAACTGGTTATAAGATTATTCGATTTAAATCTAATTAATAATTGTAATATGGTATAATTCTTTATTATTCTGCCATTAATACAGTCTACACAAAGGTTTTCTTCTTTAAATGATGAGTTGGAAAAAAATGAATAAGTTAAGTAGATTTTCATGTACATGACATTTGTCTAGGGAAAAAAATAAGCACAAATATCATTAGAATGTAGTTTAATATCATCAGATGGAAAATTTCATTTAGTTATTACAATTGGTGAGTTACTTTATTTTATTATAAATTAAATAACAGTACTACTGATCATATTTTAAACACTATATAGTTTCTATATGGGTAAATATATTTATATTTCGGATAAACGATAATCAAAGTGTATACTTTTAAAAGATGATATGATTTCAAGCTATTATCCTATAAATACACCAAAATCTTAATCTATTTTTTAAAAAAATGTGGAGATTATTATGGTATGTACTACTGATGTCGACCGATATAAGTAGTATGTATCATGAATCGAAAGTGAAATGCTTGGTGACAGAAAGTTAAGAAGACAAAAGAAAAGAGAACGAGAACAATGAACAATTTCTATAGAAATGAAGGAACAATGAAGTCTGAGATGAGTGATTTAAATTCACAAAAGGAAGTCAAGTTTGAGGTGATTGATTGACATTTTGCAAATGGAGTATGACATATATAAGCGAACAATATTGTTTTCGATTAGATCTTCGTCAGGCTTTACTCTAATATACAGTAATATTTGTATGCATATATGAAATTATTAAACCAATCAAGGCAGTTTATGAGTTAATGATAACTATGAAAACGATTACATAATAAGTGAAAAGCGAAAAGTACAAATTTGTGGTGTGATAATAAGTGTATTGGTTCTTAATAAAAATAATAAAGTATAGTTCTCAAATTTTACTAAGATGTTCTGTAATTTTAGGTTCAAATACATTCGATTGTCCCCATTTGTGTTCTCGTTCACAACATTATTACTGTAGATTGATAATTAAAGTATTGGAAGTGTTCACTGTTAAATTATAAAACCAACATACATAGTTATTGTATTACTGATTCATCTTCATCATTATCATTTATTTAGCTAGATCCCAATGTAGATTACTTAATTTGAGATATTACTATGAAAGCTCCATGAACAAACTATCCAGTTCAGAGAATAAAACTCCATCAAATAACATTACTATCATTTCATTCATAAATAAATAAAATTAGAATAGTACTTTTGTGTATAATACACAATAGCAATTCAAACTCAAATAGGTTAAATTAACTAATTGACTTATTATGCAATAAATCAGAAAGTATATAAGGGAAATTTCAAAGATTATATGAATCACATTATGAAGAGATACTTTTATGACATGATGATTTTGTAGCATATGAATAGTTTAAAATATTGAAAGATTGAAAAACTTACTTTCTTAAAATATTCAAGTATTATGTGTCTAACTAAATCTTGTACAATATTTTTGATCTGAAATTTATATCATACTTTAAGAGAAATTGATGAAACCATGGCAACAACTCAAGTAGAAATTCAATTTAATCATAGGATTTGACCAATATGTTGGATAAGTCAAACCAACTGTTATTTTAAATTCGTTTAAAATACATGTATTAGGACTAGTTTATACAATAAAATTTATTTCTAACAATTATGCTTTTTGAAACTAACTGATTTATGCAATATCTTTCAAATGTCATTAAATTACTGATTATGAATTTAGAGCTTTCAAAAAAGTGTAAAATAAAAGATGGTAGGTGGCTGGTAGTGAAATTCAGGACGTGCGTTTCGTCATCAGTAGGTAAGTGGATAATGTAATGATATTTGAAGCGAACGGTACAGGGTTCCTAGTTTCAGAGTGAACATCAACTCTATGATTCACATACATGCAAATGATAAGTCTTAAATAGAACGAAACACATGTTCTGGATTCCACTGCTAGTCATTATTTATCTTTGCTTATAAAGCTTATGACAAAAGGCAATGTCAAAGCGATCCGCACAGGATGCACATATGCTAGTAAAACACTAATTAATTGCAGTCCTAATCAACAATAGGATGATACAAGCAAACAATACGAAATATAAACTAATTTAAAACTAAATTTAATTCTTATTTTTAATGTTAAATAATTGAAACAAAATTCATCATGAAATTATTAGACATATAGCCTGGTTAAAATATAATAAACATCTCATATAATAAATCAAATTAATAGAGATATTTGTATGTAAAGTATTCTATTTTTTAATTGTTCAAACATTTTGAATTGTCTAACTAAACCAGTAGGTCCTGGGTTCGAATCTCGTTGGGGGCGAGGTTGTGGATCCGCACTGCTGAGGAGTCCCACAATAGGACGAAACGGCCGTCCAGTGCTTCCAGATTTTCCATGGTGGTCAAGCTTCAACTGACTCATCATCTCAACCATTGAAGTAAACACTGAATTATTTATGAAATAAAACTTATACATTAAAATTGATTTATTTTAATAAATGTTTCAATTATGTAATATACTTCATCAGTTTATAATGTTACCTATTACATAACACTGTAAAATAAATGAATCTCTTTAATTCATTTCTCTGTTCGTTTCTCACTTGTAAGTTGTTCAAGTTTTTGTTTTTACGAAACAATATCATATTATTAATTCAATGAAATCATTGAAAGCTATACAAGTTCTATGAAAACTTACCAAGGACATCACGTTGGCCATTTATCAATATACAATGAAATATTGTTAAGTATAAGATATAATGCATCAATGTCAACATCATTTATATTCTTATGAATCTATTTGAATGAATGTAGTTTTACAGGAAATCTTTATTATCTTTAATATGAATATAAATTATATTTTATATAAAGAAATATAATTTCATAGATTTGTAACTACACAATTGTCTAAGTATGATGACCAATAGGAATGAATAGTTTTAACAATTGGTTAGTTGATAAGTTTATCTGAATTGATGTAATAATGTACCGGCCGGTATTCAAAAATCAATCATTATTGTCTTCTATATTTGTGTATATTTGTATTATATATACATAGAAGTATAACCATTTATGATTAGACAACATTCTGGTTGGTTTAACATAAAAAATTATCAAATATTAAAAACATATTTTGGTGCTTGAAAATTAGAAAATAATGCCTTTTCAATGAAAAGCAATAGTGTAAGTCGTGTTGAATAAAAAAATTAGAACGTTTAAATGATAATTCCAATATTTGAGATCATGGGTCAATTGAAACTAAACCACTATGGAAAGCCTGAAAGCACTGAACGGCCGTTTCATCCTAGTATGAGACTCTTCAGCAGTGCTCATCCAATGATGTTATTCTCTAACTTCAACTAATCCATAAAATTGAGCGACACATTTACCATTGTTATCAATGATTTAATATCTCACAACAGACCCGATTGAACTTCACTGATCATGTCGTCTCACTAGAACTTCAAGAAATACCTCTTGAAGCCAGTCATTAGTGAGCATATGTTGAATATGTTTAAATAATACTATATAGTATACTTTGATTATAGCACTCTAAATCGATTCTGACCATAAATAGTAAAGCAAATGTTTTGCCTTATAATCAGCTTTTTTTAGCCATCCCTACTCACGCTATACTAATGGTTAATCCAAAATTATAAGGTTTTCAAGCATTTACCTGTACTTAAGTTAATTCATAAGACATCACGATGCTTAGATAGATTTATATAGTCGCTTTTTAATAAAACTTTGTCAATATAATTGAAATCGGAATGGTTATCTCAACAGTTTGTCACTAAATGTTGGTCAGAATAAATTAAAGGACAAACGTTAATCCACTAAAGATATAATTTAATCAAGTAGATCTTAATTGATAAATGAACGAAATGCAATAGGTTTTCAGAGGATTGATAATGGCGGAGTTGATAAAATATTTCATAAAAAGTCCGGTATTAATGACAATAATAGCTAAAATATGTAGTGAAGAACTGACACTAATAAATTTAAGTAAGGATTAATAGATTAATACTTAAATTGTAAGAACACCTAATTTAATGGAACATTTAGACAATTTGCGAATGTAGACTTAACCACGCTTGTATGAACTATGTCCATGATCAACGTGTACGAACCTCTTTTGAATACGATACTTAGGCTTCTGGATGTGAATTATGATCGCTATGACGATACACAAACGATGAACCCGTAAATCATGTGAAAAATCTGATGATGTATCGTAAATAACATAAAAAAACATTATTCAGGTCAACCTGATGTTTTTTCTCCACAATGTGAGCAAAAATAAAACTCTTAGTCTTATATATATTGAATGAGAGCTGTGATAAAAATCTAACTGAAAAGGAATATTTTTCACCTTATTCATCTTTTTACGAAATGTCTCAGTCAGCCAGCTACAACGTAGGACCAGGCGCATTTGTGCATCGTTCCAAGTTGCCACACCTCATTAGTACAACAAGATAAACACTGAATTCATAGAAGTAGTTAATTTAGTAGTGGTAATATATAAAAAAAGACCGCATATAATGACATATTACAGGAAGAAAGAATTAGTTCGTAGAAAGAAAGATATGAAGCGATTTTAATCTCATTGTTTAAGGGAAGATAAAGAGTGCATACACCTACGTCATTTTAATCAATTCTGAGCCATGTTACTCAAAGTCTCCAAACATTGGTAACGATAGTCACGCCGATCCCAACTGAGTAGTCTGCATCTGAATGTCTAAAAAATGTATGTTTATATGAAATGTTTAGTGAACACAGAACGAAATGTATTCATCTTATTCAACGATATTTGTTATTCATTCATTATAAATGAAAATAACCTTTAGAGCTTTTTTTATTTTCCAAATAATTTTCTAACAGACTTATATTCTTTAACGAATCATTAAACTAGAAAGTAGTCGAAACAAGGTTAGTCATCATTCAAAACTTCAAAAGAATGCCCAATTTATTATGTCTGAATTCACCCAATATAAAATATAGTTTTAGTTAATATAACCTTTTTTGTAGTGATTGCATATATCTTAATATAAGTCATGATAAATGTTAGTATTTATTTACTTTGATTTGCCAAAATTTTATTATAGCCTATTAAGCTAGTGTGTATTTATTTTTACCGTAGTTATGTTGTAAACAATCTACGTCATTACTCCATACTTCTACATAACATAAAGTAAACACATTGTAAGCAATTTATAAAATATGAAAAACATGAGAATAAAAAAGACTAATATAAATTTTTGATTGAAATCATAATTCAATTGAAGCTAGACCACCATGGAAAACCTGAAAGCACTGGACGGTCGTTTCGTCCTAATATGGGACTCCTCAGTAGTACGCATTCACGATCCCTTACCCCGCGAGATTAGAACCCAGGACCTATCGGTCTCGCGCCAGGCGCTTAACCAACTGGACCACTGAGCCGGCATTCAATGATGTTAATGTCTAATCTCAACCAATCCACGAAATTGAGCGACCATTGCCACCATAGAAATGGTGGCTCAGATACAAGTGATGTTTATATAGTTTTCAAATCCTGACCAGAAACCCACCCCATTTGATAGATTGATTATTTGTTAAATAACATATACTTCCTATTAAGTTGTTATTATCAAATGAAAATGAAATTGATAGAATCACTTGATATGAAGGAATTAGTAATGAGTTTTATATATGATAAATATTAAAATATTTAGCTGAAAGACTTTAATGAGATATTTTATTTATTTCTAGTTGTTGATTGAACTAAAACACTATTTAATGATATATCATTGACAAGAAATATGTAAATGATTGAATCACATGCTTAGTGGATAAAGATTTAGAGTCTCATTTCGAAGATGAATGTAAATACGTTTATTAAGCTAAGAACTCTTCAACATTTATAGAATACACGTATTGAATTCTGCTATAAAGTAATATGATTGATATAATGAGTGCGAAATGTATTCATTATCATAAGCTTACATGTATATACAATGAAGAAAAATCAATGATTTCACAGCTTTACAAATCAAATTACTTTGATTGTTTGATCCGTATTACTTTTAGCTAATATTTTTGTATAGATTTGGAATCATATATTTACTTCAAAAGAAAACTTCGGTTATTTCACCATTTACTTTTTTGAATTTCCACAATCAAATTTAATGTTTCACAATAGATGTAACTTATATAAATGTATATGTGACTGTTAAAAGTACTTGGTATCTAAAATAATTTATTACATGACCTAATAGTATATTCAAAGTGTAAAAAGGGTATATGCAGATGATAGGAGATTATTTATAGAGGTTATTTTTAAAAAAAAAAGATTAATTATGTGCATTGATTAGTTAGTAATATGACTTTGGCATCATAACATTCACAAGATATATGTATATATTAACATGATAATTAATTGAAGTGTTGAAAACAACAAACGCAACAAGATTATGTTGTATAAATGTAATATAATTAGTGAAATCAGTCAGGCAAATGTAACAAGATGTGGTTGTAGAAGTTATTGAATTTCATTGAAATCACAAAGCAATCTAATTCACATAACAAACAAGAACCTGGAATCACTATACAGCTTTTTCGTCCACAGTAAGGAAACTCTCAGTGGTACACGCCCCCAGTACCATACTTGAAAATCTAACCCAGCGCCTTCAGTGTCGAGTTTCAACGATTAATCTCCAAAACATTGATCTAGCATACAAAAGTGTTAATATCTATTTCGAATCAATCTAAGATATTGAGTGACCATCTTTCATTGTCTTTGACTAGTTAATGCCTCACACTCGATATGGTTTAGCTCCACTGTTCACGGCTTCTTATAAAAATGTAGGAAATTTCCTCTGGAAGCTAAACGCTAATGAGTATATGATATTTATCAATATGGGGTTGTAGAGGTTTATAAACTACTGGAAGTGTAAAACAACTTGTTCACTTATATTGTCTAAAAGATCAACTCATGGGTTAATCAGTAAACGAAATTCTTTGATATTGTATATAAGTAAAACGAAAGTAATGTACTAAAATCTGACATATATAGCAATAGCTAATTGCTCTGATAATTTAACCTATGTCCTGCAAACGTATAATCATAAATATTTAAACAATAAAGCTAACATGAATTATTTCTATCATAGGAGTTGCAAATCATACTGATGGTTTGTATTTCTATAGTCAAGTATTAGTCGAAACATGCAGTTTTTGAATTCGATGAAGTTCTGAATGGAGCATAACATCGAATAAAGGTGAGGTTGCATCATAAAAATATGAGTAATTAGATTTCATTGATTAACTAAAAGAAAAGTTTTTCCACTAGATTTCAGTTGTGTTTTTTATTATTTTTGATGCTGTAAACAATTTCATTGTGTACTCTTGGACATTTCATAATTTCTAATGAATATTAAATAGTAAATAAAACATCTTCAAACATCATCTATGTAAAACAGAATTTACATGAATCACACACCAATATCTCTATTAGAAGCTGATTATTGGAATGCTTATCAATTCAGTGAAGGTATTCAAGACAAACTGAAACACAAGTACTACATTCTATTATTAACTATCTATCCAAAATATTTATTTAATCCTCTAGTATTACTATTCCTTTATTGTATAAAGTATAAGTTATAAGAAATGAATTGTTATTAATAGTAGTAGTATTTAACTTAATAAGTAGTCTATAATTGGTACAGATATTATTTATCTTTTATTTTTCAATCAAGCTTATCATGAACTAAATCTAATGAAAAAATTGTTGTCAAGGAATAAAACCAAATCTCTTTTGTATGGTTAGATAGATTTTATCTTTGAATTAGTGTATACATATATATA